ACACACACAGTGTACACACACAGTGCACACACACACACAGTGTACACACACACAGTGTACACACAGTGTACACACACAGTGTACACACACAGTGCACACACACACAGTGTACACACACAGTGCACACACACACACAGTGTACACACACACAGTGTACACACACACACAGTGTACACACACAGTGTACACACAGTTTGCACACACACAGTGTACACAGACACAGTGTACACACACAGTGCACACACACAGTGTACACACACACATAGTGTACACACAGTGTACACACACACACAGTGTACACACACAGTGTACACACACGCACACAGTGTACACACACACAGTACACACACACAGTGTACACACAGTGTACACACACATACACACACGGTGTACACACACACACAGTGTACGCACACACAGTGTACACACACAGTGTACACACACACAGTGTACACACACATACACACACGGTGTACACACACACGTCACTGTCCGTGTACTGCCCCGTCATTAAATCTTAGCTACAGAAATGACGCAGTCGTTCATTTCATTGACATTCTTCGGTTCTTTTGGTATAGTCACGTTTAGATAGAAAAAATAATAACAAAAAAAATAAAGCGAATAAAACTAATAAAAAAAACAAAATTATAGATGTCAGAATCACATGGACGCAAAAACAACAAAAACAACAATAATAACAACAACAACCACGATGCTCGTTAGAGTGGACTGCCTATGTTGTCAGTCCACTCCTGAGCGCAAGCCTCCCACACAGAAGCCCTGCAGAGTCACGGGCGGAACGTTCCGTCGACTTCATCACAGTTGATTGGACGGTGAAGAAGGGAACATGACCTGGCAGCCCTTTGATTGGTGGAAACCCACCACTGACATCGCGCTTGGGATACGCCCATTTTAAACCTTTGTAGACAACCTTGATTCGAAGCTTTGGTTGCCGCAATGATCCATGCTCTTTGCTTCTTTCGGTGACGTCGCGTAGGTAGAAATGTAAATGGAATGAAACAAATCGCGACGTTTCGATCGCAGCGCGAGCGATCTTCGGCCAGGTGGAACAGCCACAGCAAGGAAATAGCTGAAGTAGGCGTGAGAGCTGCCGTGGCAAGAGGTTATATAGGTGAGAAAAGGGGGAGGAGCAAGGGGGGAGAGAGGGGGGGGGTAGGGGAAGGGGGGGGGGGCTGCGTGAGCGCTAGGGGGAGAGGACGTGAGGCTGGGGGGGGGGGGGAGCAGTGGGCGGGGCTAGAAGTGGGAAGCTGAGTGTGGAGACGGAGGGAGGGAATAGAAAAACATGTACTAGTAAAACCAGCAGGTCTGTCGGAAACAACCACAACCAGTTAAGGCATTACCTGGTTAATGACAGCCTTCCAATAATTGTTCAATTTGTATTCATCTTCTCGGTTGAAGTTATGTCTATGTTTATATATCTGGATGGCTTCATGAAGAAACCTTTGATAGTTGCCCGAAGAATTTTGATTTAAAGCTTTCGTGACTGCAGGGATTCATATTCTTGGTTCTTTCGGTAAAGTCACCACGAAGAAGGGAAACAATAAAATAATAAGTAGCCCGTAGGGTTTACTTTATAGACAGTTTGCCTTTAGAGGCTAACCCCCCTTTTCTTGGTGACCACCGCTCGTGTTGTGATCGAAACGTCGTGGATTTTTGCTGATTTTCTTTGAAACCTATCTACGTGACTTTACCGAAACACCCAGAGAATATGACCCGGCCCCTCCTGGGGATCAGAAATAAATCCGCTGCACAGCTCATCGCATTCCCACGGCAAGCGAGCGCCTTGCCGCGGTGGCATAGTAAACATCGCCAACGGGGGAGACAAAGGCGTTGTCTAACCCGTCCCGTCGTGCGCCGTTCCGGCCTTCGTGGGTGCTGCCCGCTAGCAGCCACTTGCCCCTGCGGCCTGTCCAGGCTGCACGGGTGATCATTGTCGTTGTTTGTGTGACCGTAGTGCTTGCCGCGGTAGTGCTAGTTGTGGTTGTATGTTTGCAGATGCGTGTATGTTCAACTTGTTTGGCGCTGCAACGTAGCCAACCGTTGCGAATCCGTGAGTGGCTACACGGGGGTGACCTCTGTCTTTGTAGTGGTTGTTGTGGTGGTTGTATATCCATCAGCGACTACACTGGGTGATCTGCCTTTGTGTGATGGTGATAGTGGTTGTTGTGGTGGTTGTACATCCATCAGCGACTACACTGGGTGATCTGTCTTTGTGTGATGGTGATAGTGGTTGTGGTCATGGTTGTAGTGGTTGTTGTGGTGGTTGTATATCCATCAGCGACTACACTGGGTGATCTGTCTTTGTGTGATGGTGATAGTGGTTGTGGTGGTGGTCATGGTTGTAGTGGTTGTTGTGGTGGTTGTATATCCATCAGCGACTACACTGGGTGATCTGTCTTTGTGTGATGGTGATAGTGGTTGTGGTCATGGTTGTAGTGGTTGTTGTGGTGGTTGTACATCCATCAGCGACTACACTGGGTGATCTGTCTTTGTGTGATGGTGATAGTGGTTGTGGTGGTGGTCATGGTTGTAGTGGTTGTTGTGGTGGTTGTACATCCATCAGCGACTACACTGGGTGATCTGTCTTTGTGTGATGGTGATAGTGGTTGTGGTCATGGTTGTAGTGGTTGTTGTGGTGGTTGTACATCCATCAGCGACTACACTGGGTGATCTGTCTTTGTGTGATGGTGATAGTGGTTGTGGTGGTGGTCATGGTTGTAGTGGTTGTTGTGGTGGTTGTACATCCATCAGCGACTACACTGGGTGATCTGTCTTTGTGTGATGGTGATAGTGGTTGTGGTGGTGGTCATGGTTGTAGTGGTTGTTGTGGTGGTTGTACATCCATCAGCGACTACACTGGGTGATCTGTCTTTGTGTGATGGTGATAGTGGTTGTGGTGGTGGTCATGGTTGTAGTGGTTGTTGTGGTGGTTGTACATCCATCAGCGACTACACTGGGTGATCTGTCTTTGTGTGATGGTGATAGTGGTTGTGGTGGTGGTCATGGTTGTAGTGGTTGTTGTGGTGGTTGTATATCCATCAGCGACTACACTGGGTGATCTGTCTTTGTGTGATGGTGATAGTGGTTGTGGTGGTGGTCATGGTTGTAGTGGTTGTTGTGGTGGTTGTACATCCATCAGCGACTACACTGGGTGATCTGTCTTTGTGTGATGGTGATAGTGGTTGTGGTCATGGTTGTAGTGGTTGTTGTGGTGGTTGTATATCCATCAGCGACTACACTGGGTGATCTGTCTTTGTGTGATGGTGATAGTGGTTGTGGTGGTGGTCATGGTTGTAGTGGTTGTTGTGGTGGTTGTACATCCATCAGCGACTACACTGGGTGATCTGTCTTTGTGTGATGGTGATAGTGGTTGTGGTCATGGTTGTAGTGGTTGTTGTGGTGGTTGTACATCCATCAGCGACTACACTGGGTGATCTGTCTTTGTGTGATGGTGATAGTGGTTGTGGTGGTGGTCATGGTTGTAGTGGTTGTTGTGGTGGTTGTACATCCATCAGCGACTACACTGGGTGATCTGTCTTTGTGTGATGGTGACAGTGGTTGTGGTCATGGTTGTAGTGGTTGTTGTGGTGGTTGTACATCCATCAGCGACTACACTGGGTGATCTGTCTTTGTGTGATGGTGATAGTGGTTGTGGTCATGGTTGTAGTGGTTGTTGTGGTGGTTGTACATCCATCAGCGACTACACTGGGTGATCTGTCTTTGTGTGATGGTGATAGTGGTTGTGGTCATGGTTGTAGTGGTTGTTGTGGTGGTTGTACATCCATCAGCGACTACACTGGGTGATCTGTCTTTGTGTGATGGTGATAGTGGTTGTGGTGGTGGTCATGGTTGTAGTGGTTGTTGTGGTGGTTGTACACCTATCAGCGACTACACTGGGTGATCTGTCTGTGTGTGATGGTGATAGTGGTTGTGGTCATGGTTGTAGTGGTTGTTGTGGTGGTTGTACATCCATCAGCGACTACACTGGGTGATCTGTCTTTGTGTGATGGTGATAGTGGTTGTGGTCATGGTTGTAGTGGTTGTTGTGGTGGTTGTACATCCATCAGCGACTACACTGGGTGATCTGTCTTTGTGTGATGGTGATAGTGGTTGTGGTGGTGGTCATGGTTGTAGTGGTTGTTGTGGTGGTTTTATATCCATCAGCGACTACACTGGGTGATCTGTCTTTGTGTGATGGTGATAGTGGTTGTGGTGGTGGTCATGGTTGTAGTGGTTGTTGTGGTGGTTGTATATCCATCAGCGACTACACTGGGTGATCTGTCTTTGTGTGATGGTGACAGTGGTTGTGGTCATGGTTGTAGTGGTTGTTGTGGTGGTTGTACATCCATCAGCAACTACACTGGGTGATCTGTCTTTGTGTGATGGTGATAGTGGTTGTGGTCATGGTTGTAGTGGTTGTTGTGGTGGTTGTACATCCATCAGCAACTACACTGGGTGATCTGTCTTTGTGTGATGGTGATAGTGGTTGTGGTGGTGGTCATGGTTGTAGTGGTTGTTGTGGTGGTTGTACACCCATCAGCGACTACACTGGGTGTCTTTGTGTGATGGTGATAGTGGTTGTGGTCATGGTTGTAGTGGTTGTTGTGGTGGTTGTACATCCATCAGCGACTACACTGGGTGATCTGTCTTTGTGTGATGGTGACAGTGGTTGTGGTGGTGGTGGTGGTCATGGTTGTAGTGGCAGCGGTGGCAGTGGTGGCCGTACGTCTGCGCCGTTTGTTGAACCTCTTTGGCACCCTACGTAGTCAACCGTTGCGAACCCCCCCCGTCAGCCGCTACACGTGTCGACCTCCGTCTTTGTGACGTTGCTGCGGAGGGGGCGGGGCTTGCTCGGATGGGGCGGGGCGTGCACGGAGGGGGCGGGGCGCTGAGACCGGGGGGGGGGGGGGGGGTGGGGGGGTGCTGGGTAAGGGGCGCGCGCAAAGTAGGCGGGGCGAGAGGGAGGGGCGGGGGCTGACCTTCGAGCATGATGCGACGGAGCTTGGCGTCGAGGTCGTCGCCCTCGAGGGGGTAGACGTCGATGGACGTGGAGCCGTCGGCGTTGGTGACGATCCGGCGGATGGTCAGCCTCCTGAAGCCGCCTGCAGCCCGCGGCAGAGAAGCGCACACTGCAGGCCGCTCGCGAGGGGTCACGGCGGCACGGACGTCGGCGGCGACCCCTCCCGAACCCCGGGCTAAATGGAGGGACCGCGCTACGTGGCATGTGTGTGTGCGCGTGTGTACGTACGTGTGTGCGTGAGGCGGTAGGGGAGCCGCGGTGTAGCGGTCAGCGCTAGCCACGCTGCGCTACGAACCTGACGGCCCGGGTTCGATTCCCCGCTCGCGGCCAACACCGGTGACGATTATCTGAACCGATCGCCCGGGCCTCCCCTAGGTCGACTCGGCCTCAAATGAGTTACCTGGTGCGATGTGTGAGCATTGCCAGTGAGGGAGACAAAGGCGGCCGGGCGTGGCGCTGGCCACCCACCCCCTTCGTGCGCCGTGCCGGCTTTCACAGCTGCTCGCTAACAGCACTTGCCCCTACAGTCTGTTAAGGCTACACGGGGGATCTTTGTCTTTTGTGCGGCGGCAGTGCGGCAGTTAGCGGTTTTGTTGTTTTCGTTTTTCCTTTGCAACAGTAATTTACGTGAGAAATAAAACCTGCGCGTGAAAAAATAATATTCGATGTTTTAGAGATTTAAATGGGGGGGGGGGGGGGGGGTCACGGGACATCTGGGCCACCCTGTAGACGGAGCGTGCACGTGCGTCGCATCCTGCGTGGGGAGGGGTGGCGCTGCGGTCAGCGCTACGCCGCGCTACGAACCCGGCGGCCCGAGTTCGATTCCCCGCTCGCGGCCAACACCGGTGGCGATTGTCCGGACCGGCCCTGGGCCTCCCCTAGGTAGACTCAGCCTCAAATGAGTACCCGATGCGGTGCGCGGCAAACATCGGCAGCATTTCCCCCCTGCCAGCGCGCAGGGAAAATTCTACTGTCCTCCGCAGGCTTCATCATCATGCGATGGGCAGGCGGAGTACATTCGCGTTGAACTTCGGTCGCACCGTGCGTAGGCAACCGTGCTCATCGGAGGTGCGGGGAAAGGACAACAAACTAGGTCTCTACGTGAGTCTGTGGGTCTCTGTGTGAGTCTGTGGGTCTCTGTGCGAATCTATGGGTCTATGTGTGAGTCTATGGGTCTCTGTGTGAGTCTGTGGGTCTCTGTGTGAGTCTGTGGGTCTCTACGTGAGTCTGTGGGTCTCTACATGAGTCTATGGGTCTCTGTGTGAGTTTATGGTTCTCTGCGTGAGTCTATGGGTCTCTGTGCGAGTCTATGGGTCTCTACATAAGTCTATGGGTCTCTACATGAGTCTATGGGTCTCTGTGTGAGTTTATGGTTCTCTGCGTGAGTCTATAGGTCTCTACGTGAGTCTGTGGGTCTCTGTGTGAGTCTATGGGTCTCTGTGTGAGTCTATGGGTCGCTGTGTGAGTCTCTGTGTCTCTGTGTGAGTCTATGGGTGCCTGTGTGAGTCTATGAGTCTTTATGTGAGTCTATGGGTCTCTGTGCGAGTCTATGGGTCTTCTATGTGAGTCTACGGGTCTCTGTGTGAGTATATGGGTCTCTGTGTGAGTCTATGGGTCTCTGTGTGAGTCTATGGGTCTCTGTGTGAGTCTATGGGTCTCTACGTGAGTCTATGGGTCTCTACGTGAGTCTATGGGTCTCTGTGTGAGTCTATGGGTCTCTACGTGAGTCTATGGGTCTCTGTGTGAGTCTATGGATCTCTACGTGAGCCTATGGGTCTCTGTGTGAGTCTGTGCGTCTCTACGTGAGTCTATGGGTCTCTGTGTGAGTCTGTGGGTCTCTGTGTGAGTCTATGGGTCTCTGTGTGAGTCTGTGGGTCTCTACGTGAGTCTATGGGTCTCTGTGTGAGTCTATGGGTCTCTGTGCGAGTCTATGGGTCTCTACGTGAGTCTATGGGTCTTTGTGTGAGTCTGTGGGTCTCTACGTGAGCACATCGGTGAAGAACGTCCTTTGGGGCCATCGCCTGAAACGTCGGCTGTCGTTGTAGAGTTTCACCCTGGAGGCCACGGCCGTCGTGAGTGACGGCCAAAGTTGAGATGTTCATTTTATTTCCGTTTGTTCGTTAATTTAAGGCAAATCAATCACCGTCACAGGGCCAGGGCCAGGACTGCGGGACACGGGACGGGGGAGCAATGTGCGGTTAGACGAGGTGAGGTTAGACGAGGTGAGGTTAGACGAGGTGAGGTTAGACGAGGTGAGGTTAGACGAGGTGAGGGTGAGTGCACGGAAAGAAGAGAGGTGAGCGCAGTGCGAGCGAAACGGCAAAAGGAGCCCCCAGGGTTGAATCCCCAACATCCATTGCCCCCTCGCCCCCTCCCCTCTCTCCCTTTCCCCCTCCCTCCGTCCCTCCCTCCTCCTCCCTCACTCGCCCCCTCCCTCACTCGCCCCCCCCCTCCCTCACCCCCTCCCTCGCCCCCTCCCTCACTCGCCCCCCCCCCCCTCCCTCGCCCCCTCCCTCGCCCCCTCCCTCACTCGCCCCCCCCTCCCTCGCCCCCTCCCTCTCCCCCTCCCTCGCCCCCTCCCTCACCCCCTCTCTCTCCCCCTCCCCTCCCTCGCCCCCTCCCTCACCCCCTCCCTCACCCCCTCCCTCACCCCCTCCCTCGCCCCCTCCCTCACCCCCTCCCCTCCCCCTCCCCTCCCTTCGCGAACGGCAGAAGAACACAGCCGCGCAATATCACGTCACGTGCGTTATGAAGACGCCGCGCATTTGTACGCTTCGCACGCGTGCGGACACAAGAGTACTTCATTTAGACAGAGAGCTATTGAATATCGGCCATAACGCCACTGCCTTTATGTAAAGGATATATATATTTTTAAACTATGTTTTTTTTTTCCGGCTAAGGCCCCGCTCAGCTACTATATAGCTCTTTTATGTTTCTTCCAGAAGGGGCCTGGCCATCGCGAACGATCGGCTCAACGAATCGGCTCATCACCACCATGTGGACATTTAGAGCAGCCTCCGAACGTGTGACGTCGACTCTCAATGCGGAGGGGCAAGAAAACAAAACGGAGGACCCGGAGGAAAAATCCACGCGACCAAGGGGAGAGAGAGAGAGAGAGACACGCAAACTCCAAATATACAGCAGCAGGCATCAGGGTCGGGATCGAACCCACGACCTCCTGTGTACCAGGCGAGGTAGTTAACATCTCACCATGGGGACAGAGAGAGAGAGACACGCAAACTCCAAATATACAGCAGCAGGCATCAGGGTAGGGATCGAACCCACGAACTCCTGTATACCAGGCGAGGTAGTTAACATCTCACCTTTGGGACAGAGAGAGAGAGATACACAAACTCCAAATATACAGCAGGCGTCAGGGTCGGGATCGAACCCACGACCCTCCTGTATACCAGGCGAGGTAGTTAACATCTCACCATGGGGACAGAGAGAGAGACACGCAAACTCCAAATATACAGCAGGCGTCAGGGTCGGGATCGAACCCACGCGCCCTCCTGTATACCAGGCGAGGTAGTTAACATCTCAGCCCCAATTTAAACATGGGCGTGTGGGGGGGGTGGGTCGCGCTCAGCAAGGGTATCACCGGCTCCCGTGGCAAGCGATGAGGACACGGAGATGCAGCGATCACACGGCATGCCACTGCCAGTTCATCAAAGCCTCACGGGGAGCGTTCATCACACCGCTGTCTCTACCGCTCCAACCCCCCCCCCCGATCGCATGGGCAAGGTCGCGCAGAGGGGGGGGGGGGGTGGGGAGAGGAGTGAGAGTGAGCGAGACAGACGGACGGACGGGCGGACGCGGAATGTCTGACGGAGAGAGGCTCTCGGGGCGGACAGAGAGAAGCGTTTTTAGCGCGTGCGTTGTTGTTGCTGTTGTTGTGTGACCGGGGAGATACGTCAGTGAGTGACCAGGGGGGGGGTGGAGGGGGGTGACATTGGTCTGCTGCCAGTCGGGAGCGTCGACTGCCCTGCAATATTCCCAAAAAATTTAGTAATTTGCGGTGCACATTTCAATAATTTGGGCAAAATTTTCCGGCACGCGCAGCCGACGGAAGGAGCGTTGGCGCCAAGCGTGTGTGACCTCTCGCGACGGCGTCCGCGTGAACCGCTCTCGGCTGGCTCGGCTCCCATAGATGTTGCGCTTACGGAAGATCGTGGCTGGCTATCTCGGTCAGCGCCGTCAGCGTTAGACGGCCAGTGCTGTGTACAGGCTCGGCTGAGCTACCGCGGGGAGTGCGCGGACGAAAAGCGTGGAAGTTGTGTTGAACAAAGGAGGAGCCTTGTCTCCGAATCGTTGACACTGCACCCATCCAAACACTATATCCGGGCTCAAAGCCCGCCGAGCTCTCGAGATGCCACGAGATCGGGAGCATTCCTGGGCGGTTCGGTTGCAGGCAGAGGAAAAGGTTGACAAATGAACACCAAGGGACCTACATTTGGCGGTCGGGTGTAGCAAACGCAAACCAAATCCACTAACGTGCACACACGGCGCTCGGCAAATTGAAATTACTACCGCTTCGCATTTCACCACTGACATTTTCCTGTCATCGGAAAGCGCGTGCTTTTAAGAGGCCGACACGGTGAGCGGCGTATTTGTGCTCGGCGGTGGAAGGAGGGGGTGGGGGGGTGGGGGAGGCGCACGAGGATCAGCGAGGCATTGTGCTTTCGATACCGGACAGACACGAAGACGTCTGGGACACCCCGTTTGGCTTTCCCCGCATGGCGAGACAGGGCAATAAGTACACTCTGCTCCAGATAAGAGGACATGCCAGAGACGGGAATGAACCCTGGTGTTGAACAGCCTAATGCAGGTGTCCCTGATCGCACGAATTCGCTAAAATCCACCACCCACTCATCGTGTGTGTGTGTATGTGTAGGCACAGTAGGGGGCATAGGTGGTGTACCAGCAAGTCGTCTCAGTCAGTCGACCTGTGGCGTCTGGGTCTGCCCCGTGACCTCTTGCCAGCGGGCGACCGACACTTCACGTGGCCTCAAGGTGCACATAGCCTGGCACAAGCGTCGTGGCGACGTCACCGCCACTTAGTGGCGAATGGCGGTTGTTGACGTATATTGAGTCACCATGGCGTTGCGCCGGCGACCGAAGCGGGCGTGGCCGAGGGCGGAGCGAGGCCACGCTCAGGAGGATAAAAGGGGCAGCCCCGGGAGAATTCTTGGCTGTCTTCTGGAATCAACCGGCCGTGCTACGCTCTTCGGTCTTAACTCTTCGGGCTTCGGTCGTCACATTAGACATCGTGGGTCAGGCAGTGCTTCACTGACCTGACCCGTTTATATCGTGACCTTGCCGAGGTCTAGCTCCGTGGCAGTTACCACCTGGTTAGTCAATAACCGAGTGTTTATGTGGTTTATGTAGCTTGCCCTGTTGGGGTGTGCAATAAACGCGTTGCCTCCAAAGCGCAAGTTGTCTGCCTCCATAGAACCCACTACATGTGTACAACTTCTTTCGCACCGTACGTAGCCGGCAGTGCCGCTGATCGGAGGTACGGAGGGACAATAAACCGAGATGATTTAAAAGTGCATAGGTCCAGTGGCTTCCTAATAGCGGAAGGAAGAGTGTTCCAGACGGCCGCGGAAACGCATCTGGAAGTGCCGCGCGATGTCTTTGTTCGACGGCTGAGCCGAAAGCCTGCGAGGATGACGACCGGAATTCGCGCCATGGTGGTTTACGCTCCTTGACGAGATCGGCATCATTAACCTCCCGATTAGTGCGGTTGGCTACGTATGGTGCGGAAGAAGTTCGACACACAGACGCATGTTCAAGGACGGCAGGGCACTGCGGCAGTTAGGGTCAGGTGGCCGCAAGGTCACGGCACGACCCGTCAGTAGCAGAGTTGTCAGTTCAGAAAACCCAAGCAAAGCTTTCCCTGCATTGTGATTGGCCATTCACCCCAACCACATTTTAGAATTCCCACGGCTCAAGCGATGTTTTATTCCGGGGCGGGTGGGCGGGCGGGGGGGGGGGGGGTGTTAGGGAAAGCTGCTCAGGGGCACGACGCGGCAACTGCCGATGTGAAACGTATCCCCGGGCTCGCTGTCCGGCCTGCGCTGCCTCGGCAATCAAGGCCGAGGCTCGGATTTAATCGCTGCAACCCCCCCCCCCCCAGGTATTAAGGTCGTGCACCGGCACGCGCGAGCAGCTCCCGGTGGGTTCTCGGCGCACAAGGGTTCCGGGTTCGCCGAGCGAGGTGGCAGTCGGGCAGCCGGACGCATGCTCGGGCGCGCGTGTCGCCCTAAAGGCGCGAAGTGGCTCGGACGTGCAGGCCGAGCCGACGGCAACGTCGCGGTTGGCCGCGGTCTCCGGCGCAGCCGCTGAGATAACGCGGGGGGGCAATTACAGCCCCAGGCACGTGACGCTCGCCGTCACCGTCACGGACGCCGTCTCGCTTGCAGCGCTCGCGTTGGCACGGCCGGGTTGTTTTCTCGCGGTGCCGTGCCGTGCCGTGCCGTGGCGTCGCGCGGCGCGCGTGCGGCGCGCGTGTACATTGCTACGGTTTGTATCTCGCGTTAATGAGGGCTCTCTCGTTTACTCGAGGCAGTTCCGTTTCAATTCGGCGGATAGAGCGGGATGCTCGGGCAGCTGCGTGGTCTGTCCTGCAAGGCGTCCATACTCCTTGCCGCGTGGATGGGTTCAACTTTGGGCAGGGGTCGCCATCCTTTCAAAGAAGAGGGGACCCAGGGACCCACCCACCCACCAAATTATTTTGTTTTTTTTGGCCTTTGACCCAAAAAAAAAACATTTCGAGAGCCGCGTCGCAGTCTGACCGCATGTTTTGTTGTCGTCGCCACCAAGAGGGCGGTCGCATCGATGGGGAAACAGGGCTCCGATCGATGGCCGGGGGGGGGGGGGGGCGGGGGGGGGGGTGGGGGGGGGGTTTCCGCGAGCCTCATTGTGACGTCGTAAAAGCGGGGACCGCCCCTCACTTCAATTTAGAGCGTGAAGGACCGCATGAAGTGAACCGAGTTTCATTTTTGTCTAAGAAAAAAAAAACCCGCAAGGTTGGGGGCAGCTAAAGAGTGGCAAGGGGGGGGCAGCTGAAGAGTCACAAGGGGGGGCAGCTAAAGAGTGGCAAGGGGGGGGGCAGCTAAAGAGTCGCAAGGGGAGGGGCAGCTAAAGAGTGGCAAGGGGGGCAGCCAGAGTCACAAGGGGGGCAGCTAAAGAGTCGCAAGGGGGGGGGGCAGCCAAACAGCCCCAAGGGGGGGCAGCCAAAGAGTGGCACGTGGCTCCGCAGCTGCAGGTTGCCGCCCCCCCCCCCCCCCACCCCCTGCGCAAGGGGATCGTGGCAAGAGAGGGAGGGGGTGAGGGAGGGAGAGATGGAGGGAGGGGTCTGCAATGGGGCAGCGGCGTCCAACTCACCCCGTATTATCTGGTCGATGATGGCCTCCGTGATGTCGCCCTCGGTCTCGATCACAGCGGATCCGTCCTCCTTGGCCTCCAGTTTCTGTCCTCATCGACAGACACGGACAGACGGGCGGCGGTCGTCGGTGGCTCCCCGCGTGTTTGATTGGCGGCGCAGGCAGGCCACGCGCCCGCGGTGGCAAAAAAAACACAACAGAACGTCTCGCCGTGCCGAGATGTTGACTACCTCGCCTGGTGTGCGGGAGGTCGTGGGTTCCATCCCGATCCCGGACTCCGGCGCACGTATACGTCTGGAGTTTGCGTGTCTCGCTCCGCGTGCCCGGATGGATTTGTATCCAGGGCCTCGGGGTTTTTCCCTCCAGCAGGTGAAGGCCCGCTGATAAACGATAGCTCAGCGAAGTGGCCTATCGTCCAGATTTTAAGCTTTCGTAAACTGCAAGGATTCATACTCTTTGGTTTCATTCGGTGAAGTCGCGTAGATAGAAAAAAGTAATAAAATCGACGTCGTGATTTAATCACTTTCTTTTATTTTGTTTTATTTTATCTACGTGACTTTACCGAATAAAACCAAGGAGTGTGGCTTATCGCCACCGCGTGGAGACGTACGGGCAGCCAACTCCGATTGTCAATGTGAGGTTGTGGAAAACCGGAGGACGCGGAGAAAAATCCACGCGGCCACGGGAAGAGGCAATCAAAGTCCAAATATACAGCAGGCATCGGGGCGTCGGGATCAACCCCATGACCTCCTGCACCGCAAAAAAGATATAAACTTGGCAGGACCCTCCTGAAAAAGAGCGCTGAGACTCCGCGACACTCTGCCGGAGGGAACCAGCGGAATAATAAAATCACAGCGGTGCAAAATAAAGGAGTTGGCAAAAACATTCAAAGCGGGATGTTGCCACGAAGATGATCATTTGTTGTTATTATTACGAGCTGGCGAATCTGCTGTTGGTAAAAAACATATATATACCGTGACATGAACAATGCAGTTACCCCCCTCTGTGTCATGAACAATACAGTTACCCCCCCTGTGTCATGAACAATACAGTTACCCCCCCTGTGTCATGAACAATACAGTTACCCCCCCTGTGTCATGAACAATGAAGTTACCCCCCCTGTGTCATGAACAATACAGTTACCCCCCCTGTGTCATGAACAATACAGTTACCCCCCCCCTGTGTCATGAACAATACAGTTACCCCCCCTGTGTCATGAACAATACAGTTACCCCCCCCTGTGTCATGAACAATACAGTTACCCCCCCTGTGTCATGAACAATGAAGTTACCCCCCCCCCTCGGTGTCATGAACAATGAAGTTACCCCCCCTGTGTCATGAACAATGAAGTTACCCCCCCCCGTGTCAAGAACAATGAAGTTACCCCCCCTGTGTCATGAACAATGAAGTTACCCCCCCCGTGTCATGAACAATGAAGTTACCCCCCCTGTGTCATGAACAATGCAGTTACCCCCCCTCCCTGTGTCATGAACAATGAAGTTACCCCCCCCCCCCTGTGTCATGAACAATGCAGTTACCCCTCCTGTGTCATGAACAATACAGTTACCCCCCCCCCCCGTGTCATGAAGAATGAAGTTACCCCCCCTGTGTCATGAACAATACAGTTACCCCCCCCCCTGTGTCATGAACAATGCAGTTACCCCCCCGTGTCATGAACAATACAGTTACCCCCCTCTGTGTCAAGAACAATGAAGTTACCCCCCCTGTGTCATGAACAATGAAGTTACCCCCCCTCCCGTGACATGAACAATGAAGTTACCCCCCTGTGTCATGAACAATACAGTTACCCCCCCCCCCTGTGTCATGAACAATACAGTTACCCCCCCTGTGTCATGAACAATACAGTTACCCCCCCCCCCCCTTGTGTCATGAACAATGAAGTTACCCCCCGCCAGTGTCATGAACAATACAGTTACCCCCCCTGTGTCATGAACAATACAGTTACCCCCCCCCCTGTGTCATGAACAATACAGTTACCCCCCCCCCCCCTGTGTCATGAACAATGCAGTTACCCCCCTGTGTCATGAACAATGCAGTTACCCCCCCCCCCTGTGTCATGAACAATGAAGTTACCCCCCCCCCGTGTCATGAACAATACAGTTACCCCCCCCCCCCGTGTCATGAACAATGCAGTTACCCCCCCCCCCTGTGTCATGAACAATGCAGTTACCCCCCCTGTGTCATGAACAATGCAGTTACCCCCCCCTGTGTCATGAACAATACAGTTACCCCCCCTGTGTCATGAACAATGCAGTTACCCCCCCCCCTGTGTCATGAACAATGCAGTTACCCCCCCTGTGTCATGAACAATGCAGTTACCCCCCCCCCTGTGTCATGAACAATGCAGTTACCCCCCTCCTGTGTCATGAACAATACAGTTACCCCCCTGTGTCATGAACAATGCAGTTACCCCCCTGTGTCATGAACAATGCAGTTACCCCCCCTGTGTCATGAACAATACAGTTACCCCCCCCCCCTGTGTCATGAACAATGAAGTTACCCCCCCCTGTGTCATGAACAATGAAATTACCCCCCCCCCTGTGTCATGAACAATGAAGTTACCCCCCCCCTGTGTCATGAACAATGAAGTTACCCCCCCTGTGTCATGAACAATGCAGTTACCCCCCACCCTGTGTCATGAACAATGAAGTTACCACCCCCCCCTGTGTCAGTGTCATGAACAATGAGTTACCCCCCCTCCCGTGTCATGAACAATGCAGTTACCCCCCCCCCCGTGTCATGAACAATGAAGTTACCCCCCCCCCCCCTGTGTCATGAACAATGAAGTTACCCCCCCTGTGTCATGAACAATGCAGTTACCCCCCCCCCTGTGTCATGAACAATGAAGTTACCCCCCCCCTGTGTCATGAACAATGAAGTTACCCCCCCTGTGTCATGAACAATGCAGTTACCCCCCCCTGTGTCATGAACAATGAAGTTACCCCCCCCCCCGTGTCATGAACAATGAAGTTACCCCCCCCCCTGTGTCATGAACAATGCAGTTACCCCCCCCCTGTGTCATGAACAATGCAGTTACCCCCCCCCCCTGTGTCATGAACAATGAAGTTACCCCCCCTGTGTCATGAACAATGCAGTTACCCCCCCCTGTGTCATGAACAATGAAGTTACCCCCCCCTGTGTCATGAACAATGAAGTTACCCCCCCTGTGTCATGAACAATGCAGTTACCCCCCCCCCCCCCTGTGTCATGAACAATGCAGTTACCCCCCTCCTGTGTCATGAACAATACAGTTACCCCCCTGTGTCATGAACAATGCAGTTACCCCCCTGTGTCATGAACAATGCAGTTACCCCCCCTGTGTCATGAACAATACAGTTACCCCCCCCCCCTGTGTCATGAACAATGAAGTTACCCCCCCCTGTGTCATGAACAATGAAATTACCCCCCCCCCTGTGTCATGAACAATGAAGTTACCCCCCCCTGTGTCATGAACAATGAAGTTACCCCCCCCCCCTGTGTCATGAACAATGCAGTTACCCCCCCCCTGTGTCATGAACAATGCAGTTACCCCCCCCCTGTGTCATGAACAATGAAGTTACCCCCCCTGTGTCCATGAACAATGCAGTTACCCCCCCCTGTGTCATGAACAATGAAGTTACCCCCCCCTGTGTCATGACAATGAAGTTACCCCCCCTGTGTCATGAACAATGCAGTTACCCCCCCCCCCTGTGTCATGAACAATGCAGTTACCCCCCTCCTGTGTCATGAACAATACAGTTACCCCCCTGTGTCATGAACAATGCAGTTACCCCCCTGTGTCATGAACAATGCAGTTACCCCCCTGTGTCATGAACAATACAGTTACCCCCCCCCCCCTGTGTCATGAACAATGAAGTTACCCCCCCCTGTGTCATGAACAATGAAATTACCCCCCCCCCTGTGTCATGAACAATGAAGTTACCCCCCCCCTGTGTCATGAACAATGAAGTTACCCCCCCTGTGTCATGAACAATGCAGTTACCCCCCACCCTGTGTCATGAACAATGAAGTTACCACCCCCCCCTGTGTCAGTGTCATGAACAATGAAGTTACCCCCCCTCCCGTGTCATGACCAATGCAGTTACCCCCCCCCCGTGTCATGAACAATGAAGTTACCCCCCCCCCCTGTGTCATGAACAATGAAGTTACCCCCCCTGTGTCATGAACAATGCAGTTACCCCCCCCCCCTGTGTCATGAACAATGAAGTTACCCCCCCCCTGTGTCATGAACAATGAAGTTACCCCCCTGTGTCATGAACAATGCAGTTACCCCCCCCCTGTGTCATGAACAATGAAGTTACCCCCCCCCCGTGTCATGAACAATGAAGTTACCCCCCCCCCCTGTGTCATGAACAATGCAGTTACCCCCCCCCTGTGTCATGAACAATGCAGTTACCCCCCCCCCCCCTGTGTCATGAACAATGAAGTTACCCCCCCTGTGTCTTGAACAATGCAGTTACCCCCCCCTGTGTCATGAACAATGAAGTTACCCCCCCCTGTGTCATGAACAATGAAGTTACCTCCCTGTGTCATGAACAATGAAGTTACCCCCCCCTCCCGTGTCATGAACAATGAAGTTACCCCCCCCCCCCCCTGTGTCATGAACAATGAAGTTACCCCCCCCGTGTCATGAACAATGCAGTTACCCCACCCCCCCCCCCCTGTGTCATGAACAATGCAGTTACCCCCCCTGTGTCATGAACAATGCAGTTACCCCCCCCCCTGTGTCATGAACAATGCAGTTACCCCCCCTGTGTCATGAGCAATGAGGTTACCCCCCCCCCCTGTGTCATGAACATTGCAGTTACCCCCCCTGTGTCATGAACAATGCAGTTACCCCCCCCCTGTGTCATGAACAATGAAGTTACCCCCCTGTGTCATGAACAATGAAGTTACCCCCCCCTGTGTCATGAACAATACAGTTACCCCCCCTGTGTCATGAACAATGCAGTTACCCCCCCTGTGTCATGAACAATGAAGTTACCCCCCCCCCTGTGTCATGAACAATACAGTTACCCCCCTGTGTCATGAACAATGAAGTTACTCCCCCCTGTGTCATGAACAA